ACGACCCCCTTGGGCGCCCACTTAAAAGCGTATTTGCAGATGTAAAATAATTTTCAAAAACTATTTTAGAAAATCTTGGAAAAATATTTTTTTAAACTCTGTAACCCACATCACACACATATTATTTTATAAAATTTCAATAAATCGAAGTTGATCCGCTTAATGTTTATATTATTTAAAAGCAGGGCTCCTTGGAGAATGTAAATCATCATTTTTAATTTTTCAACAACAATTACTCATTTATTGATAATTTGCCCCGTGTTGTAAAATAAAAAAATACAATACAACTAAAGCATCATTTAATTAATAATTTAATTTATTTAATTAGATTTGCTTTTATAAATAAGATACATTAAGGGCACTATTGACTTCAGAAAAAATATTTCGATGAATAATTAATTATTGCAAGAATTGTTTTCATGTTTATTTTAATTATAATAATTAATAAATTTTTATATCTTTTAAATTTATGTATTAGATTTAGCCTTTTAGATGATATTATCATTAAGTGAAAACTTTATTTACCAATCATAAATGAAAAATGTTGATAAAAATCATTAAACACCAATATGTTAAAAAGAATTTTGAATATATTTTTGTGTATAAACGTGCCCATATTTGTAAGTACGGGCGACAATACATGACATTATCAGAATATAAGAGCGATGACTATAGTAAATTTAAAGAGAGTATTTCTAAAAATTGATAAAACATTCGAATATGGAGAATATTTTCTGAATGTTTTAAGGTTACTCAGTGATTAAAAAATATATAAAAAAGCGGCTTATGCCATTTTCTTAAATTATGTTTCACACATAAAGTCTTTATAGAACAAGATTAGTCATCAGTCTGTGAACACGTCAAATCAGCTACTGTCTAGTTCAAAAATGCTTTTATACTTAAAATAAATAATAGTTGTTCCGAATTAGATTAATTATACATTAAATTAGCTTATTCCAAAATAAAATTTAGAAAAGTACATTTTATTTTTACAAGATTTTTAAAAGCAAGAAAAAACTTGCATTTACAAATGTCCCCAAAATGATCGACATTTTCGTTGTTACTGAAAAAAAATCGATTCCAATCAATATAATTTCTGTTTGAAATAGACCAGAGTATCTTATTTATTGGAAATTGTAAATTTAATATTCTAGCTTCCAATTTAAGCTTAAATGATAGCATCAAGAAAGATTTTTCTTTTATAAAAATTAATTTAAACTATGGGTATCATGATTTTGTGGAGTTACATAATATATCTCTCCCTCTCTATATATATATGTATGTATATATATATATATATATATATATATATATATATATGTGTGTGTGTGTGTGTGTGTGTTTGTGTATTTGTGTGTGTGTTTGTGTTATATATATATATATATATATATATATATATATATATATATATATATATTTCATTTAGTATTTTACTGTAGACGCAATCCAGACATATACTTAGATACGCGCACGTGCGCGCCCACATTGGGCGATAGAAATATCAGTTATTGCAAACATTCTATTCACATTGATACAAAAATAAAACGTAGCATTGTATTTTATTTCCATTCTTTGCGTTCAAATCCTGAAAATCCGTTGCTATATTTTCCGAAATCTGCGCTCTTTCATTTTGCATTTCTTTTCACCGAATTTCTCTTTCGATAAATTGCGATTTGATGCCCAAAATAATGACGCTTTATCGCAGAAAACGTTTCGCCTTCAGCCAACGAGAGTTCAATAAGTCTTTTTACACGCCTAGATTTCTAGATGCTCGGAAAATTAAGAGCAGATCATTTATTAGCCGGTCGATAGACGATTTGTAATTTCGTGGGTTTTTATATCGAAAGATGGCAAAATCCAGGAAAAAGGATAAAAATATTAGTTGTCGGCAGCAAAATGAGCGCTGCTGAATAAGAGCCAAAATAACACTAATGAGATCGTAAATATCTATATTACAATCTGATTTTTGTTTGTGGTTTTATCAGTTTCTTAGAGTAACATAGCAAAAAAGGCACATCATAACGTGATTATTGTTACGAAAATATATTGACAGTGCTTTAACCCATTAACTGCCAGGTGTCTTGGGTATTAAAACAATGCACAATAATAAATTTTTTCTTCGTTTAGCTCATACTTTGAAACTTTATAGAAATTAGAACATCAAAAATATATATATATATATATATATATATATATATATATATATATATATAACATCAAAACATAATATTGATTAGAAATAATAAAAAAAATGCTTTTCAAAATAGTCATTATTTTTCTACTCGTGAAATGTAAAATTACGACAGAAAGTGTCTTCTATGATTAGTTATGACTAATAATAAAAACTTTAAAAGTTAATTGTTCTAAAATATACTTCTGCAAATGCAATGTATGTAAGCAATTCAATGTAAATACAAAGAATAACATGTAGTGAGTTTAGCTTTAACAGATCCCCTAACGGTGCTTATGGCAGGTAATGGGTTAAGTTACAGAATACAATACAATTTACTAGTTAATAACAATAATAATGATACTAATAAATAATCGATTCTAACAATTTCATACTGATAGTAATGATCCAAATGTATTATACTGTTTTTTTTTTATCTTTATTACAAAAGCCGAAATCTAAATAAACGACAAAAATCTGTAACACATTAGAATCGTGGGGAACCAGATATGAATGTTTTACGGCTAGATAGCCTGACGAAACCTATCCCTCTTCATGCTGATTTTGAATTCATAATTTTCCATATCCCAGATAGATTCCCACCCATTTTAATTGGTTATTGACCCTTAGCTGAAATGTCGGGAGATGCATTCATATCTTTTCAAGAGCGGTTGAGCAAAAGCGGGCCGACCTCAACTGGAACTTGAACTCAGTATGCCAATTCCACTTTCTTCACCGCCACCCATTATTCCCTGCGTACTGAATAAACAGTTGAACATTATCACTGTTTGTATTCGTATTTGTTTCTTTAATGGCGTTTAGGTTATTAAATGCCGAAAATTAATTTTGGCGAGAGCTTTCAAGTAAAAAATTTATGCTATTCTGCTTTCATAAATGAAATACATGGTTGATTATAATCAACTTTTGTGTATATCCATGTTTGTGTAGACATAATAACTAGAAGGGTGTTAGGTGTGTTTTATGTTAGTTTTGTTGGAATTATATTTTGAAATACAGTTTAAGAAATTGTCGGATATTATATAGAATATGTTCTGAAAGATTTTTGATGTTGGTTGGTTAATTTTCTTTTAGTAGCATATCAAATTCTAGGGGTTATTTAATGTCGAAAACTAAATATTTAGAACACCATTTCATGGCTTCAAATAAACATATTTTAAACGTAATTGTATGCCTTCTACTACAGATAAAATGTATTGTTGGTCATTCTATAAAACTTTATTTTCATGTTTTCATAGTATTTTGTTTTTTATTTGTTTGTTTTTTTCACTATTTGCCCATAGCTGGGACCCTATCAGATGTTACAACCTTGGGTCAACGTTGACCTTGGGACAAAAGTAATTAAGATGCGGTACCATGCTCCTCAAAAAATCTCCCGATCAGAGGTCTAGCTGCCGGGTGTAGTTTATCGTTCTACCCAGAACTTCATTCATACCTTCCAACGCATTGATTATTACTATTGCACAAGTAATTTTCTGCTGTGTGTGGCTTTCCAGCTTTAAATTGGGAGAACTTTAGTATAAAATCAAATATGTTTTCTTCCGCAGAACTAAAGAACTAACCAGTTGTTTATATTGTTTTTTTTTCCCCTAAGAATACCTTGCTTGCAATTTCTGTAAGGGAGTGCGAAATTTGTTTTTTTTTTTTCGGATCCACTATTTGCCAATAGCTGGGATGCTGACAGGTTCTACCTGTTCAGAGTGGACAAGGAAACTGTTATGGCCCGGTTCCTTGTACCACGGTGATAGTCCAAGGTAGAACCAATAAAGAAGAACTCGAACACGGATATGGAATAACACATATGTTACAAATAGGAATATATACAGAGAAGTAGAAAGTGTTAGTGCGAACAATCAGGTTTAGTAGGTAGAACAATGTAGTCTCGACCAGTATCACTATTTCAATGTCTTGTAGTAATTGTCTGAAAGCGACTCTGTTTCGGACTGCCTCTGACTCGACTGACTGACTCGCTCGCTCTGACTGACTCCTGACATACTTCTGACGGACCTCCTCCAGACTTCAGACTGAACAGTATTTAGTCATCCCCCACGAGGGCATCATGTGGCACAAGGCCAGTTTAACGTGGGATCTCCGAGCCCGTGGGATCTCCGAGCCCGTGGGCTCTCGAGCCCGTGGGCTCAAAAATATGCCCTTTGAACCCGTATAAACGGGTTCAGGGTCGGTTTACCACCCGAAAGAGACGCCGCCCTTCGGCGTAGCCTCGTTCGGGTTCCTCCCCGCCCGAAGGCAGAGAGTTCAACCGATCAGCCGATCAGCCGGTCGTCCGACTTCGGACTGAACAGTATTTAGTCACCCTCCCCACGAGGGCATCATGTGGCACAAGGCCGCTTTAACGTGGGATCTCCGAGCCCGTGGGATCTCTGAGCCCGCGGGCTCGGCCAAAAAGATGCCCTTTGAACCCCTATAAACGGGTTCAGGGTCGGTTTACCTCCCCGAAAGAGACTCCGCCCTTCTGCGTAGCCTCGTTCAGGTTCCTCCCCGCCCGAAGGCAGAGAGTTCAACCGATCAGCCGGTCAGCCGGTCGCACGACTTCAGACTAAACTCCCTGCTTCCTCTTGAGGCGCAGTATTGTTATTATGGGTAAGGTCCCTTAACAGAAACAACAAAAATTAAGAAGTGGGGCTACGTTCCCGAAAAACTCCAATCTCCCTATCAAAGGCTTTGGTACTGGATGTAGTTTATCGTCAGACCCAGAACGGTGAATATTACGTGACATGTAATGAGAAAAGAGTGATTGTTTAAGGACATATTCAAGGCAGCAATTGGTAATGGCTAGCAGCCAGTAATTTACCTAAAGTGTTTAGAGGAATGTAATGAAGTGTGGTTATAAAGAAGGGTTAGTAAAAGACCAAACGATTGTTCGGGAAACAAAACAAAAAAAGAAGCTGTGCTGACGGGGAAAATATGATAGAAACGAGGTAAACGGGAAAGAAAAACAAAAGTATATGAGCTTACATGGAGATAAAAAGGCCGACTGTAACCTAAAAGTGGCAAACAACTCAATGATGACATTTTAAAAATAAATTCGTCCCAAGTAAGACCATAAAGCCACTAAGGTTCAAGGGGTTACTTGAAGTTATGGAGTAGGAAAAGACATTAGAAAGAACCGGAAACCCGATCCTAACAAGAAAACAAAAGATAAACCCTTACTCATATTCAAAAGACCAATAAGTGTGAATCGGACGGTTGGCGAACCTTTCTACTCCTATTGAGGAGGAAATAGTAAATTAATGGTAATTACAATTTCAGAATTTAAGTGGAGGTGTCAGAAGTGTAGAGAAAGTAGAATTCAGAAAGAACCTGAAACGCAATCCTAAACTGGAATCAAGAGATAAAACTCTACTTTATTTCAAATGGCCGGGTTGTTGGAGTATATTATTGATACAAATGATAATGCATTGGAACTGTTTCAGATCAGCTGCTGGCTGCTCTGATAATGCAAAGTGACCTATGCCTGTGAGCATTACCTGAGAAATAAATGCTATATTCGATCAGGATTAAAAGTGTTATGCCCGTCAATTCTGGACAATCAGTTTACAGATGAAAAAAGACGAGGCACTAGAAATATGGTTCGACATAAGTATTCATGGATTCAATACATGAATAACTAGGAATATTGAACGGCAATGGAATCAAAATGGACACATACCGTAATTCACCATGTATAATACGCCTTCATTCATAATACGCACATCCAAAATTGTGCTAAAATTGTAGAAAAATTATTCTACTCATGCATAATGTGCACCTCTTGTTTGGTAAACCCTATAAATTGTATCTCTCCAATTTCGTTACGGCCAGCGTTTCCTACTCTTATTTTAAAAAATGGTTTTAAACATAGAATAGCATTATTCTAATGAAGTTTTATGATAATTCTTATTCTATTTCATGGCAATTTTTAAAGATTTTTGTAGCTGTGCATAATACGCACCTCTGATTTTGCTTATTATTTTTTAGAAAAAAATGTGTATTATACATAGGATTTATCTTATTCAGAACTAGAAAGAGTTCATTGAAATTATTCGAACAAATAATGAGAAAAGTAAAATTGGAGAATTTGATCCTCACAGGATATATGACGTCAAGTGTTACCGAGGGAAATAGCATGTAACCTACATAACATGCTTGTATAAACAGAAAAGGAAGTGGGAATGACGGTGAAAAAGAAACATTCTAAGAACTCAAAATAATAGGAAAATGTGGAGAGGCCGCAACCAGCACGCACTGAAGGGACACGGCACATAGAAGAAGAAGAAATGGGTATTGTTTCTTTGGATACATATGGATATACAGAGAAGAACGAATAAGTGTAAATTCTGCTAATGAAAGAATATTCTATGCACACGGTAATTTTTATAGTAAAGCTTTAAAGAAGAGTGGCTATAAATAACCTGACATTAAATATAAAAATAATAAAAAAAATAGCCAGAGAAGAAATAGAAATAGAAAAATTATTTGGTACACCCACCAATTCAACCAAATGGTTAACAGTTAGGACATACATTTCTTGCTTTAATTAATTAATATTTTCTTAGAAATAATAAGTTTTACAAATTTTTTAATAAAAAAAGCCTACAATTAAGCTATACTTCTACTGATAATTTAGAGAAAATTATAAAAAAACACAATAATAAAATTTTAAATAAATACTTAAACCCGAATCAAAAAAATAGTGATCCAGAAATAAGGATAAATAACAGTAAAGAAAAATTGTGTAACTGCGGGAATCCTATAAATGTTCCATTGAATAATAATCTATAGTTTACCAATGTACTATCTCATCTGTTGAGAATCTTAATATTAAAAAAAATTATATTGGTATCACTAAAAATAATTTTAAATGAAGGTGGAGACAATATCTGTCTTACTTCAAAAATATGGAGTATCGTAACCAAACATCCCTATCCAAAAGTTTTTGACATTTAAAAGAAACAAATAAAACTCCCACAGTAAAATAAAAATTATTAAAAAAAAACCAAAAAAAAACCAGAAGTTTAAATGACCCTTGCGTTTTGTGTCTACATGAAAATTTATACATTATAACGTTTCTGAAACATAGAGTTGTTAAATCAAAGAAAATAAATAATGGTCTCTTTTAGACATTGCATTACGTTTACTTTAAAACATAATTAATTAAAAGATTACATAATTATATATCTATTATTTGATCATAAATAAGAGAGTAAGAAAATGAATAATTAAATTCCAAAATTTTAAATTTTAATTTTAACAATACCGTATCTAGTCTGCTAATAAGTATAATAAATACTGTATTTTGATCTTTATCAATAAAAATATAAATGTATGAAATCTGACTTAATCATATATAAAGCCCCTTTAATAAAATTCTAATGTATTTTATGAAATAAAAATAAATAAATAACTAAAAATGTCAATTTATTGTAGTGTATCTAAACAAGACATAGATGACACTTTCTCATAAAAGGAAGCCAGTATCGACAGGCAGAGTTTACAAGCCTACACCTTAACCTATATTTACTTTGCCATCTTCGATTTTACTTGTATCCTGATTTGTCAAAAAAGACACCACCCTTTTAAAATGTTGTAATCCCTACTCCCTCCAACTTAAATTATATAATACTATATAGCTTAAAAATGTAAATCATTTTTTTCGAAAGTTATTGAAAATCGCTTGAGAATTAAAAAAAAATAAAACATTAATTTTAAGTTTAATTGAAGATTTAGGTTTTGGTAATTTCTGTGTCGCGATGAATACATATATTCAAAAAATATTATATCATATATATATATATATATATATATATATATATATATATATATACACATACACAAGAATTAATACTATTTTCTGATTCTCAATTTTATTCAATTTGTCTTTTCTACAGATGTATTCAGAGAACATTCACGCATTGTAGACATGGAAAACAAAAAACACACACGTAGTCACAAAACCACACTGCCCGACCCAGGGATTGAACTTTTGTCCACTAGGTTTACGGGGCAATGGCTTAGTGGATAAAAGCGTTGCTTTATGAATTTGGTGATACAGCGGATGTGTGTTCAGAATTCCTTGTCGATTACACAAATCTATATATGCCTGAGGAATTCCGGAGAGCATAATGGCCGAAACGTTATGATAGCAACAGCAAAGATGAGGACAATAGTCCGAATATAAATACTGTAAAATAATATATTGCTGTAATGCAATATAAAATTAATTTACCATGTTAAAACATAAAAAAACTAACAAACAAAATAGGATAATGGAATATAATTTAATAATATTAATGGAAAACAATAATGACTTTAATGAGAAGACAAATCGGCTGAAATGAATGATTAACGGAAGTATTTAATCTCATTTCTTCCCTTGAAGGAAGAAAATTTAGTGGCTCATGATTATGTCGGCAAATGGATTATCTCGGCTTTCATCTTTTAATCAGCAATTTTTCTTTCATTTCTGATCAAAGATACATTAAGTTATGATGATAAAACATATTAGGAACGAACACTGGTACTGATAATGATAATATTAAAGGCTTCCTTAAAATAAAATTTCGGTATTCATTGACCGATAACTTAGTGCTGCCGTCGGTTGAAATTTATAAAATATTTCTCTTAAAAATAACATGCGTATATCCATTTCTCGCTAGTCTTCGTATTGGACATACACATGTTACACACAGACATTTATTGAGAAATAGAATGCCACCAATATGAGTGCCATGTCGGAGTCTTATACAGTCAGAGACATAATCATAAAATGCTGCAACATCCGGAAAATCCGAGACAAATATTGCAGAACGAACAATCTTAGAGAACTTTTTGAAAACATTAAACCAGATAATATACTGCAATTTGTCTAACAGATTGTGCTTTAAAATAAAATATTTTAATCCTGGGTATTACGATAAACTAAGTCCGCTTCCTATAGAAGACGATAAACTACATCTAACAGCAAGATGTGTGATCAGGAAGTTTTGAGGCGCAGGAACCACTTCTTAATTGCTGGTGTTCCCAGGTCCACCCTAACCCCGGGTGGTAGCACCTGTTAGGATCCCAACTGGGGTTAAAACGTGAAAAAATAGATTTTAATACCAGAATTACATTTTTGTAAAAACATTATTACCAGCAATAAATTTTCGATGAATAAAACATTACCATGAATACATTTTTGGGAAAAATATTAGCAGAAATACTTTTTAAAAAAAAAATATTGCATGTAACAAAAATCTTGTCTGCATTAAATAACCCATTAAGGTTGATATGACGTAAAACAAAACGAACCAAACCAAAATATTTTTAAAAGTGTTTACGCAAACAATAAAACCTTTTCTTCAATCATATCTGACGAGCAATAAAAGTTCTTTACCATCCTTTGGAAAAATTTTCCTTCAACCATTGCTAACAAACTATGAAGTTTTTCAACCATATCTGAAGAACTAAAGAACTTAATCCCTTCTATACTTGATGAACTATAAATTATGTTTACTACAATCAATTTGACTCTAAATAACCAAAAATAAATTCAGGAGTCGTTAACATGAAATGGTTTTCTCAAGTTCAATAGCTGCTATAACTCTTTCTAGTATTGATATTTTTCGAGGCGGGGGGGTATGTAACGTAAGCATCTTGATTGTGTCATTATTCTCCTTTAGAGTTAGATGAGTTAACAATTTTATATTTTGTTGCTATTGAATACATTCAAAAGATGTGGTTTCTATTATCTGTTCCACTATTTGTGATTTTTGTAATGTCTGCGTTTACATCGTTCGAGAAAAGGATTACCCAGACTGAGATTTAAATATATTCTACTTGGTTATACAGTTGACTTGTTAGTTGAAAGAGCAGCTAGTATACTATTAACTAGTAACAAGAGAAAATAGGCAGATGAAGAAGTAAAACTGAAAAACGTTTTAAACAATATAGTAACAGAAAGTAATTAGAAAAGCTATTAGCTGAAGACAA